AGAGAGTAGGAAATATGGGGAAGCTGCAAACAAGCAAACCATCCCAACCAACCCAACCAGCACTCCAGGTGCCAAATACCGTAGGGATGAGACGTTACTGAAGACAGTACAGACTGGAGGTTAAATCCCAACGCTGGCAATGGGCTTTACACCTCAGCAGAGAAACTGCTCTGCCTCTAAGGCAGAACGAGAACGCGCTCGGTGCACAGTGAAGTGTTCCAGAAAAAAAACAAACACACACACAAAAAAACTTATCCTGTACAATAGAACGCGTTCGGCCCTCCAAACCACCGCTTCAGGGTTGCCATGCCCGACACGCTGGCCCCGGCAGGGCCCGGCCGGGAGCAGCGCGGCCGCTCAGGGAGGCGGCGGCGGCACGGATCGGCTCGCAGCGGGGCTGCCGCCTATCAGCGGCGGAGGCCGCAGCTCGGAGGCGGCAGGCGCGCCGTGTTTTGACCAGACGGACGTTTCTCAATCACAGAGTTACTTTAAATAGCCGCTATTGCGGAACAAAGAATAAACATCCATTCCGTACGCAACACGAGCGTTTTCCCAAGCACCCGGAGCTGACGACAAAGCCCTCCTTTCGCGTTCCATCTCCTCGCTCCCGGGAGAAGTCTAACGGCCACCCCCGAGCCCCGCACGCCTCCCGCTCCCGGCCCCGCAGCGCCGGCCCCACCGTGCCCCGCGCCTTTGTTCGGCAGCCGGAGCCCTTCTGGCCTCTCCCGCCTCCCCCCAGCTCTGCCCCGCTCCGTCCCCGCCCCGCTCACCCCGAAGTCGGCGGGGCGCGGCCGTGCGGGGGCTCCCCGACCCAGCGGGCCGTCACAGGGCACCAGGGCTCCGAGCTCCACTCACCTCCCCTCGGCCGCGGCGGCCATCTTGCCTCTCTCTGACCGCCTCCCTCTGCCTGGCGGTCACGTGAGGGGAGACGGCACCGCCCGCCGCCCCCAGACGAGCCGTGCCCTCCTCCGCGCCCCCAGGCAGCGGGGCTGGTCGTGCTGTGCCCTGCCCGGGGACGGGGAGGCGCCGCTAGCGGGCGCCGCTCACGCTGAACGGCCCCGCAGGGGCCGCGCGTTAATAACCGGTTCTAAACGGATCGTCACGAAGCTCGGAAAAGCCTGCCCGGAAGCCCTGGCGGGCCTGAGTCACCCACCGCACGGCGCCCTGCCGCGGGGAGCGGCCCGGGATGAGCACTGCACCTCCGCGCTCAGCGCCGCAGCCTTCCCTTACAGCCGCTGTGCCCAGCCCGCCGCTGGGCCTCGGGGCTGCGGCTTCCCGCGATGCTTGCAGCGGGTCTCATCACGACGCTTCTGACGGCGCTTCAGTCCGTGCTTTCTGCGTACAACCTGTGTGGTGGCTGTCAAAAGCCGTCCCCAGGATTATCCAAATCCACAGACGTGTTTGGTTACAGGATTCGTTTAGTTCCGTACCGCAGTAATAACAGCTCCCTCGACAGGCACGGACACGAGCTTAAACTTGGGGTGGCAAAAAAACAGAATCACAGAGCAGTTGGGTTGGAAGGAACCTCACAGCCCACCTGCCCGGCCCCTGCCATGGGCTGGCTGGCCCCCTCCACCTCGGGCTGCCCAGGGCCCACACGACCCAGCCTTGAGCAGCTCCAGCGATGGGGCACCCACAGCTCCAGAGGGGTCTCCCCAGAGCCCTCTGCATGCTGAATAAATCCAGCTGCCTCTGCCTTTCTTCATAGTACAGGTGCTCCACAGTGTGATCATTTTTGTGGCCCTCCTCTGAGCCTCTCTAAAAGCTCTGTGTCGTCCTTGCGCTGGGGTCGCAGACCCGGATGCAGTCATATTTCTGAGGTTGCCAGTTCCCAAGGGTGAAAGTGTCAACTTCAATCTTCACCACACTGAGATCTTCCATTCCTCTGTAGAAACATAATTGCTAGCCTCCTGCAGAAACATGCACAGTGCCTCCCATATGTCCTAAATACCTTTAACCATAAAGTGACTGCAAGTTCCTCCTGTGACCTCTTAAAGAAGTTCAATTATATTAAGAACTTCTTCATACCCAGATAGAATGAGTACCTTACATGCACAAAAATTGTTAATACAAGAAAAAATGAGCAAGCTCTGAAGATCAGAAGCTGTATCCGCTTAGGTCTGCACCAAAAGATACGCTTAGCTGAAAAACAGGGAGCAGTGAAAGGCCTAAAGCACATTCTCCTTTATACAGCAGATGTGAAAAGATCCCAAATCCCTGCAGTTACTGCTGAGCTAGAAAGCATTCACTGCACTGCTTAAATTCATGCCCAAGGAGTGGTCCCGATGTTTCAAGAAGCTGAGCATCATGATATCTATGGACTTTCAAACAAAATACTGTTTTTCAGTGTATATTAATCTCACTTTATATCATCATAATCTAAATCCTTATTCTTTTACCATAGCTTTTCCACACATAAGGTATTAGCTATATTCTCACCCCATGACTACAAACAGAAACAGCAGCTCCTGTGTGCGAGGGCCCTGTATGTCCTGGTGATGGGGGGGCAGGGAAGGCACTGCTGTCTGCACTTCACCTTCTCCCCCCTTCACTCGGCTCACCCAACTCCTGACATGCTCGTGCCTGCTGATCTCAGCAGAGGAACTGCAGAACTCTGTCTCATGCTCTTCCACTCACACCCTACCCTTACATGAGCAACATTTTCCCACTGGTGAATTCACACAGACGATGTAATATGGTTCTATTGAGAGGTTCAAGCTGCAATCTAGAAAAATCTTAACTTTACATGGAGTGCTCTGTTTCCCATTTGAATTTTTGTCTTTATGTTCTAAAACTTATCACTAACAGTAAGAGTGGCCTCTGGGGCTTGGGATTTATGCCATTTGAACACCTCATTAAACAAACACCAAAACAAAACCCCAACAAAACCTATGGAGAAAGAGAAACATGAGAACTCACAACAGATGACTTGAAGGATTCATAATCCCCCCTCTGACAGACTGCTGCATTCTGCAGTAACATCATTCATACCATCAAAACCAACTTGAAAAAAAAAAGTAATTAAGTTCCTTTGCACACCTAGAAGGTATTGGTTTAAATACCTGACACTATCCCAAACATCAGTTCAATTAACAGCCCAGAAACAAATGAGACTTAGTGAAATAATTTGTACAAGGTTATAGATTTTGACTGTGCTTTAATCATTAATAATCCTATTATTGTACTACTAATAATTACTATAATGCTTGAACTGTTTTATTTCCTTCTTCTAACTTCTTCAACTTAAATTGATCAAAAAACATATTTTTGTCTTCTGACCAAAGCATTACGATGGGAAAAGGCTGTTATGAGGTGGACTCTGTGGGCAAAGATGCAGAGACTTGGGGCACAGAAATAAGGTTTGCCATGAAGGCCAGCATGTTTCAAACAAAGGGAAATCTGCCATGGAATTATCCCCCAATGAATGACGTTATTAATTATCAAGCAAATAATTTAGGGATCCCATCAGGAACCTTCTGGGAAAACTGCTTTAAGTACAAGTCATAAGAGCCTTTTGTATATCTCACACTTGATTCATATTTAGAAGTGTTTCTTATGTCAGCAGAATAACAATACAAATGCAGAGATTCCCTTTACTGCTGGTTACTGAGTTTGGAAAGATAATGAATAACCCACATGGAGACAATTATTTTGCTGCTAGACACAGCCATCCCAGGAAGAACTGCAAACCCCACTGAGGGTACACGTCTCCACTTCTAATTTAAGTTAGGGTAAAGATGTCTTCCCCTAAAACTGCATTACACACTAAAACGTCCTGCTTTGTTATCAGGAAGCTACTTGGGCCAGTTTAAGGTTAACTGTTGGCATAGGATAATATCTGTGTCTCCAGGATGCTCTGAATCAGGACATTTTCTTCAGTATCTTAAGGCATGGAGTCACAGTTTTCCATTGTAAGAATAATTGGGTGTACCAGTAAATCTCAGCAGTTGTATTTTGTCTTCATCAGCTCAAATGTTTCTCACTAAATGCAGTCATAAACCTTTAGTTCATGGTGATGATTTTCATACTTGTGACCCACTCCATTGTGAAGCATAGCTGAGAAGGCAATTTCCATGGCAGTACCTCAGTTCTGGTTGGAATGACAAGTCACAGGAGCTTCTCCAGCTGTATCTGTAGTCTTGTGCTGAAGTGGTGAGTGCTTTTTATCTCCCACAATACAGCTTCCTAAAGGGAAAGTCTGAACACAGCGTTTAAATATCATTAATACAGTGGGGTCTTTCCAGAGAGCAGCACACGTGCTCTAAGTGCTGCTCTAAGGTGGGACCACCTGCAGAAACAGATCCTTGTAAAGACCCATTCAGCAAATTACACTGGCATTTGAAAGTCTGTTCTGAAGCATTAATACCTGATGAAGAGAAGAGAGGGAGTGAGTCTGTATCAGACAGGAAGTCATGGGAGCAGCACTTGTAGCATCCAGTATACCTTCTTTTCCATAAATCTATGTTAATCTGCATGGTAAAGAGACTTTAGGTCGAGGAATATGTTTTAAGATATCATCACCCACCAACAGCAACTACCATAGCAGAGCCCTCTTAGTGAAGTTTCAAACAGCAAAAGAAGCACACACACATAGGACGCATTTAATCCTGCTTCTTTGGAGTCAGCAATCAAATAAACAGCTTGTTCAAAGCACTGGTTGTGATTTGGTAGTTGTGCAGCTCCCAGCTGGAAAAAACTGCAGTCGCCGCACAGTGTAGCAGGAAGCTTTGAGATGGAGATTTGCATGTTGTGTAAGGACATTTTGCCAATTAACACGCAGCCAGACTTGGGAAACTATTTCATGTACATATTTGTATGTAAGCCCCATGGGATGAAAGCAGTTTTTAAACAGAATACCCCAAGTAACAATGTAAGCGCGTGTAATGTTTGGTAATCTGTAAAGGAGAAGCTGCTTTAAAACACAGCGTGATACCATTCCTGGCACTAATTAAAAACAGACAGACACCAAAGAACTTGGAAAAACAAGTTCACATTTTTTTGTAACTACAGTTTAATCAGATTTAAAGACACAAATTAGAAAAAAAAACATTTATAGGTAAGTTAAAAACACCTTTAAAACATAACAGCATGCCGCTTCTGCAGCACGGCTGAGACAAATTAGAAATATGTAATTATTAAAATATCACAATCACAGTGTAACTAACAGTGGTATTTTAAGTTTACCATACACCAACACTTAGTTTATGGATCTGTTGAAAAATAACACTTTTTAAAAAATATATATTTTGGAATAATAAAAATGAAATTCACCGACAATGCATTATATTCTGAATCAGGAAAGGCAAATTTAGGGATACTGTAACTATCCACACTTTTAGGGGTGTCTTCTCACCTTAATACACGGGTATCTGGAGTCATAACTACTGCATTGAGGTAAAACTACTCCTTTGAACGTGTGACCAAGGCAGGAGAGAACATGGTTCTGTATTTTATATTCTTAAACGGAATAACTTATTACCACATCTTTGAACAATGCTATATTCACTAGGCCTGCACCATTTTTCATCCCATACATTTCAAATGCTCTCTTCTAACTGCTCTAGAACACATCTGAGGTCTGGGATGTCAGAATGACCATCCGGCAGTGCTGTGTCCCTTCTGACACCTGTCACGGTATGACACATCAGAAGATGCTGCAGAGAAACAGCCAATACCACCGGGCAAAAAAGGTACACAGGAAAAATGTAAAGGTAAACATAGAAAAAAAGGCAAAATATATGTAAGCAAATCCTCCTTATTGTCACAACATTTGGCTGCATCTTTAATGTGCAGTGTTGCACTATTTGGATTGCAGGTCTCCAGGGGCCACATTTCACTGCTTTTTGTCTCTGATCACATCTCTGCGGGAAGGGGGAACTGCTGAGGAAAGAAGGGAGCTGCTGAGTCTGACTGAAGCCCAGACCACAGCTGGCTGCTCCCGCTGTGTTGTGGGGACACTTAAATGTCAGTGCAGCGTGGACTGTTTGCCTTGGAACAAAAGGGACTGTTTGAGGCCTATTTAGCCAAAAGGTTCATTAGGAGTAAGGTGCTCAGTCACTAACAGTAGAAAAAGGCCCTCCAGAAGTGGCCCTGCAATTTCCAACTCTGATTTCAGTCCTTTATCAGCAGCCCAATGGTCTACAGCAGAACACCTAAAGTGAAAGCAGCCCTTAACTTTCCACTTGAACTGCAAGCAGTGAATTCTGTTCTCACTTCTAGAAGTAGAAGCTCAGCACTGTGGGAGCAGATCAAGCAGGCCCCAGCAGGTGCACCCAAGCCAAGCTCACGTAACTAGCAGTACGGCCTCAGCTACATCTGTTTATGCACACTCCTGGCAACTACAGCTTGCCAGCTCACGAGGTTTATATGGATAGGCACAGGGATCCAGGCAATCTACAAACATCTAAAACCAAAACCAGGCCAAAAGTCATTGGACACACACATAGCTGACTCACAGAACAGGATGAAGTGGCAAAGCTTGCTTTTGAATATTTGTATAGCTGTGAAGGGAGCAAAGTCCTGTTTTAGAGGTTATTTAATGGGGTCGAAAATTGTTACAGTTGATAGCTAGATTTTATTAAAAGTATACAAAAAGCTATTCTCAAAACGTTTTTAAGAAATTAAAAAAATAATCATCACTTAATTTTAACCACGCCAAGCAGCTGTTTCAACACGTGCAGCTACAACATGGCAGGGTGGCTTTGCAGATGCCAGGATCTGGTGGTGGTTGTGAAGCACCTGGGTTAAGACTGCAACACCCATGGCAGCTCAGGCAGACCCAGCACAGAGCAGCCACAGCTGCGGCTGCCGTAAGCTCCCCTGCCAGTTCTGCTCCAATGGGACATGCTTAGCACTGCACAGCCCCCTGTGCTGGCACGTGTTCCATCCTGACCGTGAGCAGAATAGGGGCTGGCACTGCAAATGGGCTGCTCGCGGTCCACCCAGCCCGGCCCTGAGAACCTCCAGGAATGGGGCACCCACAGCTCTCTGGGCAGCTGTGCCAGTGAAACCAACACAGTGAAAGAACTAAGGGCAAAGGGAATGAAAGCCTAAAATGATCATAACCCATCCTTTCTCCATCTTTCAAGGCCGACTTAGAAAGCTGAACAAGTGAAAGTTTACACGTAAGCAACTGTAACACATTTGTATGTGAACGTGAGTATCCATCTGACCTTGTATTTAAAGCAATTGACAATAATTTGTTTCCTGAGAAAAATGCAGACTGCTAAAATTACTTTTGATATGAATTTGACAGGAGGCCAAGTTCTCAGAGGGCTGTTTGCAAAACCAGATCTCAGCCACATCAGAAGTTTTACCACTAACTAAATCAGCGCTATTAAGAAGGGGCACAGCTACCAAGTGTGTGCCAGACAAACACAGTGCTTCTGTTTGTACTACTTATTCCTGTAGGGGGAAGGGAGGAAGTTAAAAAAATGGTACCATTTCTTAATATATAACATACTCTACTGGTAAAACTCATATCACAAGTCAGTGGAGAGTACGGAATACACTTAAAATCTCTTTGCAAAGTTGTCTTTGTTGCCTTGTTATTAAGAGCACATTAAAATGAGGACCAGTATTTTTACATGATAATGTGTTTTTTACATGAAAGCATGTTTTCAAATGTCACTTGTTATGGAAATATTGTCTACATGTCACCTTAAAGAATAGCCACAGAAAAATAAGTTTCCTGAAGGGCACTGATGTAGATGTGTAGCTAACAAAGCTTCCCTAATGGAACAGTAGTAGGCACCACTGAAACTATTCTTTAAATATATATAATACATCTCTTTCATTAATACAGAAGCATTAAAGAAAAGTTATGCAAGCAAATAGTTACTGTCAGGATGACTGCATTTAGTAAATAATATTAATTCATTAAGTGTCTGGATGAACTGTTCACAATAGGCAGATATCAGCAAAGCACCATAATATCATGAATGATATGTTATCTTTTCAAAGAGTGCTGATCTGGAACACAGAAAAGACTTTTATCTTTTGGATATACATTAAGTGAAAGAATACTTAAAACCATGTTTCTTTCATGTCTGAAGTGTTTCTAAGCAATTTGCTTTCTACTATTTTTCTCAGAAAGAGTCATATGTAGTAAATCACCTCCACCTTTTCAAAGTCATTATTATGAAACCGTGTGGGTAAAACCTGAAAATTATCTAAAGCATCTGGGTTGGCTGCTCTTATCTTTACGACTGAATGAATAAAAAGGATCCAGTGCAACATTTCCATTTGCTGTAGCAAGGTAAAAAACTAGCAAAGTGGAGGGAAAATAACGACAAAAACTCGAGTGCTGCCACTTAAAAGAAAAAAAAAAAAAAGCAACAGAAAAACCCCCATGGCCCATTCTTGTGACAGTCCTCAAGAGAATTCATGTACATGAAGAGCACATTGGTTATGAGTACTTCTATATTTGACAGTGATATTTAAAAACTAAACTCTAGGACACTGCACGTCAAAAGAAATTCTAGGCAGAACAAAATTGTCATTTTCTTATGCTGCTATTATTTACAGAGTTCAAATCGTGAAGAAATAAACGAATTGTGTTGCACACAGACCCCTGTCACGTCCAATTCTGAAACCCATCTTCGCTGTGCGTGACCAGCTAACGCATGAGTGTATCCTCTTAGCTGTTTTAACTTACATAAACCTCTGAACAGAACTGTATCTGTGCATTTGCTCATGTCGAAGTACCAGACTTCACAGCCTAATTCAGCTTATTTTCTGGGGGTTGCTTACAACTGTTTTCATCTTTCTTAATCAAGAACTCAGACGCTTTCATTGTACGCAGTGGCACTCATGCCAAAAGAAAGAAACAGGGGTACCAGAATATTAATGGAAAATGGCACATCAGGAGCACTGGCATCCAAGCCCACTTCCTTTGAGGAGATACGTGGCCTGCACCAACTAGAAGGAGAATTTAAACTCAACAGCAGCAAATACTAAAAGAACCAACCCAAAATCTACTCACCTACAAGACTGCAGTTCCATTTGTTATTTAATGTAAATATCCTTCCAAGAACAGAAAGTGGACAACATTTTTCCTGATTCTATCTCCAGTGAGGATAAATAAGCATAAAGAAATTAGTGTGCCCTTATTTACAAACAATGGAAGAAAAAATGCTGTTTCAAAAACACATCTGATGACAGTGGCTGCCCCATGCAAAGGGGAAGCCTGCTTGAATGACCAACATAAGGATTCAGAAACCTGATTTTTTTTCTTTTTAAGATAATACAGCTGTCACTGAAACAACGAACATCCCTGCCTATCTAAGACTCATTTCACATTTGGTTCCACCTTTCCAAGTGTTAATTACTTAATTAGTTACTTAAATAGTTAGTTATTTAGTGCTAACCTACAAGAAGTATGCTAAGTGCTAACAACAAAAAGTATGTTTTCCTCCTGAAGTTTCAAGCAAGGAGCCAAAGGCCAGACACAGAATTACGACAGTGAGGTCACAGAGACTTGACTGAGGATTTGGTTTTTGGAGAGCAAACGGGACAAATACTGTGATATTTCTGCACAGCAATGCCCCCAGAGCTGAGAACGACCACTGCAGTTTCCCTGGAATGCAACATTGACCCCGGAGTGGGAACACTGACCTCACTGGTGCCAGATGTTTGATCAAAAATATCAGGATCAAAACAGCATGACATATTTGTTTTCACTCGGTCATAGGTTACCCAACGAGCCGTGTGATTTTTCCCCTGCAGTACTTTGTTTTATCTTTAGAGCCCATAGGTGTGGGTAAGCAGTTGTGCTTACTAAAAGAAAAAGATAACACAGAATACAAACAATTACAATGTAGCCCTTTAAAACAGTACTCCAGCAGCGACCATCATCTCAACACACGGTCTGGCGCAGACAGAACCAATGCATGGTTCCCTTGACTTTCTGCCATGATTCAGTCAGTTACACATTCTCACGCATTTCTTTCTTTCATTATTTTACCTACAAGTGCCATGTGAAACCTGCATCTAACATTCTAATTTAAAGAAAAATCTTTTCCCCCGGTTCATACACTTCTTTGCATAAAGAGAAATCAATGGTCAAGCATACAGATCTTGTTCATCATGGTGATTTCATATTTGATTGTGAACTAGATCTCAAGTTAATTACTGCTAGCATCATCAACTACTGTATGCCTTAAAACTCAAAATTACTTTTTTTTTAAGTACTAAAACCTCTTTTTTGGTAAAACAATTATATTCTAGGACAAATATTTCTGGTACTTAAGGGTAAAAACAAATTTCCATTGAAATTCTGTGCTTGCACATTGTCCTCAGCATCCTTTGGCTGCCTTTCCTTCCCCAACTGCAAAGCCCAATCAGTGGTGTTTTTTGTTGTTTTTATGTACTTGAAATTAAAGGAAACCTAACCTAGAGCTGTGAAGCCCTGGAAAAGGAGAAGCTTGAGATGACTTTTTTTTTTTAATCTGTTCAGAAGGGCTATGCTTCATTAGATTCTGTCACAGAAACCTAACTATGATTTGGCATCAGTAATGTTTACAGTTCCATAATGTACTGTAATTGTTTGAGATACTTTAAGAAAACCCTCCAAATACTGAGATGCTTATTGCAATTCCCTTTTAGAGAAGAGGTTCAAAAACCTTCCAATGACTCTGCATTTCATATTTTACCTTCTTTATAGCATATAGTATTAAATATTTGAAATACTTTCCACAAAATCAGACTTGAAAATACCGCTTAGAAACAATGTTTCAGTAAATAGAGGGTTTAAGGCAAGTCATTCATTTGGAAAAATCAATTTCCATTTGTTAATCCTAGATTGACACGATTTCATTTCACCCCATCAGTGCCTTGGGATACACAACGTACATTCAGCAGAGGGCACACATATGACCCTATGGACATACGTTGCAAGTCCTGAGTGCCCATTGAAAGAATGGTAATATCTTCATATAAGGCGTGACCCACCGGGACATGGCATGGGAGGGGTTAATCTGTTTTGTTTCCAGTCTTGCTATTGTATGTGATTTTCCTAGGTAATGCATTCTTGTCATACTAAACATCTTTGCAAACAAATACAAACCCCTTTAAAAGGTGCTAAAAATGGGTTTCTGAAAACATACAAAATATATTGATCATAATACTCCTCAATCACTGCTTTAGTGCTTCATATCTGCAGGTTATTTCTTCTTTCTGACTGAAACTATTATTTGTTGTGGAATAACTGTTCTTTTGCAAAAGATTTTCTTCTTCTAGTTTTTTGGACCACGCTGGCTGGATGCTTTCATGCTTTTTATTTCCTTTTTGAGTTCTTTTCAATGGAAATACCAACAACACCAGGATGCTGGCGATATGAAGACAGAAATAGCAGGAGCTGAAAAACAAATAAAACCAATCATTGAAGAAAATGATGAGCAGTCTTTCAGGATGCTTAAGAATACATTGTTGAGACCCACTCAAATACAGTACTTTGTGCCTAAGATATTTGTTTAAAATAAAGAAAAAATAGGGGAAAATGGAAATAAAGTCTTCCCCACAGAATCTAGTGCTGTAACAGAAAATAAACTCATTTCCTTTTAGTTAAAGAAAAGGAAACAGGGAGAACGTGCTTACCTGTAAAAGGTGAAAGAGGGTTTCACAGACAGCAGTACAAATGGCACAACTGTGTAACTTATTGCTACTTGCGTTGTCATCCATGTTATAATATCATAACATAGTTTAACAGCAGGAGATTCAACAAAATAGTGTCTGATATTGTTTCTGATCTAAAAAAAAAACACCCATATAACAGTAAGTTAGATCAGTAATAAATTAATTAGTGCTACTTTACTGCATAGAATTTGTTGTACTTCCACAAAAAACACAAGAAGAATAGAAATGTCTGGACAAACATCTTTGAACCATTCAAAGTACCCATTCACTTCTGAAGAAGTCATTGAAATTCCTTGCCTTTTAAGGCAGCATGTTTAATCCAGCACAGGGATTCTAAGTATTTTAGCCACATTTAAGCAAAACAATGCACAGGCACCCATCTCCCCTAAATCCAGTGCATCTTAAGACTACTTGTCTGGGGGTGGCAGGCATTCTATTCTATGAAGCCATTCTGTAACCACTCAGTTTTGGAACAAATGAAAACCAGAACGCTCCTGCTGAAAAGATCCTCTGTAGTAAACCACGTTCATATGTTCACTACAAAGGTGTATTTCAGGACTAGGGGGGTACAAAAAAACCAACAGAATACTCCAAATATTAGTTCTAATGACACACTTCAGAACTTTTAATAAAACAATATCAAATGGGACTGATATAAAAAGATTCATTAATTCCTATGCTGGATTCATTATTTCTTATGCTGAATTTGCTTGCAAAATCCTGCTGAGAAAACACAACTGCTCCCCATGAGCTGTCCTTGAACTCTGCTCATGTGATCTCACTTTTCTTTGTCAGAACTACTTATGAGTTAAGATGTTTGGTTGATACTTACAGCTCGTGCTGCCAGCGTCATTAGCACTCCTGTTAAAAATGTTAAGTAATATCCTGGGTAAACCCCATGCCAAATGGCAGAAAGGATGAACGTCTGGATTGTTGGACTGAAGGTGGCTCGCTCGTAGCACACTCTAGCAAATGAAAGACAAATCAAGATAAACAACATGAGACAGATTGTTAACAAACCTTCCCAGTTGTCATTTATACCTTCATACTTTCAGCAGGCTCATCTCTAATGTACTCTTTGCAGTACAATTGCAGATTACTGTTATTTAAAAATAATGCCACTACATTAAGACTTACAGAAAATGCCTAAAGCTGCTCACGGCTGCAGATTTAAACCTTCAGTGCTATCTATGCTCAATGCCATCCTTTATGGTGCTTATTTATAGCAAAGTTGCACAGCAGCATCCAAAGACAGTATCAATAAGGGATCTTAAGTTATCTAAAAATGTGTTTGAAAAGCTGGACCAGAAGCCAGAAACTATTAAACTCTTGCAATGAGTCTGATATATATTTTTCATAAAATGAAAGCCACTTATGGGCAAAGGGAAAAGTAACAACTCCTTCAATTCTGAGTAACAGAGATACTGCAGTTGCACACACGTGTGTAGGGCAGTTTTGAGCATGATGATGAATGACTTGAGGAACGTGAGGATATCAAATAAGGAGAATGCTGAACTCTGCTCTTTAAAAACAGAAACTTTGAATTACTTAGCAAGGACCTACGGTGAGGAGTTCTAGAAGGACAAAGGGAAAAAGGAATCCAAGAAAAGCAGTAGTTGCTAAAAGACAGCATTAAATGACACAGTGACAAACCATCATGATGTGGAACAATGATAGGAAGCATGGTAAGGTCCTGATACGGCTTCATCTAGAGTTCTTTAATGATCTGAAAACCAAAAAGCAATAGAAAATAGAAAACCAAAAAGAAATATGGAAACAGATGCATACTAAAGTGAACTAAGAGTAAACAGCACAAAGCAGGCATGAACAGAAATCAAAGACTAGCAAACAAAAATGAGTTTTAATTAAAAAAGGCCATTGATACCAACATGTAGAAAGGTTTTATAAATACGTAGCAAGTGACAGAAAGAAGAGAATGTAGATCTGTTACTGAAAGGGGAAGACAAGGCTATGATACACAGAGTCAAAACATTTACTACTTATGTAATTACTTTACTACTACTTTCATATATATAAAAGATTTTTGAGACCAAATAATACAGTCAGTGTTAAAGAGTGAAAGGAAAAGAGATGGAATCTGGACAGTGAAATATCAAAAGTGTATTTTGCTACTATAGCTTATTTCAGTCAAACGGATGCAGCAAATTTTACCCTATGAGTTCTTTAGTGTGGCGTACCAGGACAGTCTCCTCCTCTTGCCAAAAGCACTTTGCTAACAAGCATTAGGATAAAAACGTGGACCTAAGAAGGGTGCAGGTGTTTGTGTGCATAATAGACCAGACTGAGGACATTTGCCCAAAATAAGGAAGAAAGCAACACTGGACAGATTAAACAGTAACCAGGAACGTTCCAAAAGATTTTTGAAACAAAGAAGGTGTCAGCCTAAAAAGAAGTACAAAGCAGCATGACATCTCTGGGGGACAGCTGAGGAGACACCTTGGAATCCAAACTTGGTTTCGCACTGCTGTAAGTCATCACCAGCAGCACGACTTCTGCCAAGGCCGAGACAGAGCTGGAACGCATCATAAAGGCTGCAGCCAGCCAGGGGACTGTTAGTGCAGTATGCTGTCCATGGGGTGCAACATCTTACCCTATCAGCTGCATGCATGCGAAGATGCTGCGTGCTTCTCTAACTGCCACGTGAGTCAGCAGGTTCACACCAAGCTGAGACCCCTCCTCTCCCAAAAACATTGTGTACAGGCAGGGAGCCACACTTGGAAAACAGAGGTGTTTTTTGTAACCCACGTGTCCTTCAGAGTGTGGGTGGGCTGCCTGTAAGTGTGGTCATGCACATGTATTTTTTAAACTCCTTGAGATTAGTCACAGAATAAATTTGTTCATTAAACCATAACACTATGCACTGGCAAAACATTACCTGCTGTAGTAATGATTTGAATCTTGAATGTGTATTTCATTGCCTGCTGGTTAATTAGGTCTTGTTAGTTTATATCAGTAAACGGCTTCAATCTCTGTTTTGGTTTAGTTAAACTGCTTTAACTAAGTAGATTTTCCCCTGCAAAGAATTCAGGAGCTTAAGAAAAACTAACTACATAAACAAACCAAATTTTAGCCCTACCAGCACAGGTCAGGAAAAATCATCAGGCCTCATTTTAAGAGAGTTAAATGTAAGCTTGAAAATTCCTCCATGGTTTTGTCAACAATCCCATTGAAACACTTCATTTAACATTTCTAAAAGCAAACCAAGGAAATAGGGGTCCAGGCTGCGAAAATCTGTTCAAATATGGCTTGTTATATTTAGTAATGATTTCCTCTAGTTGTGGGAAGACGTGTCAGCTATTCAGCAAGGCTCTGCCTCGGCCTGGTTCTATGCTTTCATTACTAGCTTGGGTGGCAGGCTAACAAGTTTATTTTTCACTCTGTCTTCCCTTCTCTTTTTTGTTTTTTGAGTGGGAAGGTGAAATGGAGGAGGCGTGCATTGTTTTCTCAGCAGATAAAGGACTAGAATCCAAAGAGATCTTGGCAGATTTGAATGATGTTCTAAAATCACCAACATGAAGTCCAAAGTCTTAGAATATCTAAGAAAAGTGGAAGATAGAAAACAGCAACTGTCCATGTAATATTACTGAATACAGCTGATCATAAATATGAATCAACAGTGACTATCAGCTGAGCATAAGCAAACAGTAGATCGGTGCTGCAAAAGAAAAGATAGAGGTAATACTGATGAACTAGTAGCAGAGCTATCTAAAGAAAAGAAATGTAATTAATCCATTCAAATCATTCATTCTGCCTATAAAAAAGCCAGGGAAAGACCTTGAAGGTTACAGAAGAAGTACTACATTCACTGTTCTTACAGAGAGGAAACCTGGAAAGAAGCTAGAATAGGCAAACAAAAAGCCCAGAGGTTTTGCAAACAGAATTACGTGTTTCCTTTGGAAAAATAAAAATGAAAATGAATAGGCTGAGCAATTTCCCAGGGAGGAAAACTATAATGAGATATATATACATATGTATTATATATGTATATATGTATATATGTTGCTACTGTGTAAATATCACAGATTCACAGAATCACAGAATGGCCAGGGTTGGAAGGGACCTCAAGGATCATGGATCTCCACCCTCCCCACCACATGCAGGGCCACCAACCTCCACATTTAATACCAGACAAGGCTGCCCAGGGCCCCATCATCAAAAATCTACTTTAACGTGCATCCTTCTAACCATAATACCTTTGAACTGCTTTATTTTGTGATCCACAATGCTTCTGAAGCATCCCTAAGATGTGCAGATCAGTTAACTGCTTAACAGTTCTACAAAGTTTTTACACACAATCAGGATTTGGAATTCACAGTTATGATGGTTCCTCTTCCAAAGATATAAAAAGAACCAACACAGAAACAATGTTTATGTCCAACATTTCTGTATCTCTTGGGAGATAAATACCTAAGTTTTTTACCTTCTTTTAAATGGCAAACAAGTGACATATTCGAAGTGTTTATATGTTTAAATATATGAGTTTCAAAGTGTTTAAATATGTGAGTTTAAATATTATGTTTAAATATGTGAGTTTTTCTATTAAAATGGATGTAGCACTACAACTGACAAAGTAATTGTAATAGGTAATTGTAACACGTACTGTGCACCACTATTTATGGTCCTTGTACGCAGACATTAAAACAATCTTTTACTGAAAATGAATGCTTAAGAAAATATTCCACTTTCCTCTTTTCCCTGTGGAAGGAATCAGTACGTATTCAGATTATCCTCAAAGATTCTTCTCCAACCGTTCTAAATAAATTCATGCATTAATTCTTCTTGGCAGTTGACACATGCTGATGCCAATTGACTCAGCCAGAATAATCCAATGATATCTCTATTTTTGTTTTTGTTTGTTTTAATTTTTATTATTAGGTCAGGAAAATATTTAGAGAAGAAATTATGGAAGGCAGAGCACATACTACAATGAAATCTGATGGAAGCGACACGCTGTTGCCAGTCATCCTACAATAGGAGAGAAAGTCCTCTGAGTGATCCCAAGATGGGGGGATCTAAATTAAATCAGACTTATAGAAATAGAAATAGAAAAAGACTGCCTATACAGCCATCAGGCAAAACTTAACAAAACCTGTGTGCTACCCTCAAGAATGCTTTTTTGGTTTTGTTTCTGTTTACCACAAAGAAGTGGTGGAAGCACAATGATTTAGATCACTAGACACTCTGTTTCCCAGACAAGAAAAAATGCATCTAGGGGATATTCAATTGTAAATGTTTTATTGATAGCACACTGTGGGGTTTGATATTTGCCATGCACCCATTATAGAAGGAGCGCAGAAAGTTCTTGCACAGACTGGATGAAAGTTCTGCATCACTGCGTGGCTAAAAAATTCCCAGCCTACACAGGCTGGCAGCCAAAGCTAAATGCTTTGCCTACTGTTTTCAGCAACACAAACAGCTTTGAATGGCAAGAGGAAATAAAGTAAAAAAAACTCCTCCATATTAATACTTTCAGGTTTCCCACGACCAGTGAAGAAGTCAAGTAGTTTCTATTATTAGCAGACATTTTACACTAAGTGATCTGAATTCAGAGGCTTTAATACAGGCATTATAGGAAGAATGTTCCGTGCAATTGCTAAACAACTGTGCTGTTTTGTAAGGTTTAGCTTTAAATGCTAAATTTTCTTCAAAAACATCTGACTTAAAGGAACTTCAGCACAGAAGAGCTTGCCCTAAAGAAATAAATACCTTTTAAGCCAAAGAGCTGTTTGGATATTCCAGTTATCAAGAAACATCTTGAAGCTTGTGGAAGACTGAAAAAGAAAACCAAAACAATTATGTCAGTAATTGTAAAACGTTACAAAACATTCCTGAATTCTAGCATACGAACTGCACAAAAAACCTATTTTGAAATGAGCTGAATAAAGAATTTACTCAGCAGTTTATAACCACACTATTTTAGAAGTCAGCTGACAAGTAAAAGATATTCTGAGATCCTTCCCTAAGAGTACAAATGTGTCATTTCTCATTTAAAGCATACACACCATCTTGATAAACAAAATGTACAGAAAAAGTTAATGTAATTACAATTAAATACCTACGTGGCCATATATTTTATTTGGAACAACAATGAACAAACCTCTATCTGCTGGATTCTCAGATTTGATATTAGATCCCAACGCGTAACTCCATTTTTGTCGTAGCCTCTAAAACCAAATCCTGCTGCATTATTAATTGCATCTGCTGCAATGAGACAAGAAGAAACAAACTGTAAACTGCCTGTATTGTGCATTACACAACAGGTAGGTAGTTCAAAATATGCTACATTTTAAGGCCTACGCGTATTATTTTTAAATGTAGACAATCACTGTATCAGATGCTTGAACAACCAAAGAATCCATGCTTACATAGGCACTTTCAATTAAAAACCTTCTACGAAAGCAAAAGTATGAATAGTATCATTATCTATCTCACAGTACAGATATCCTTCTCTCTTACACAGCCCCTTGCCTCAGCTTTGTGCGCTCACCATGGAGCACCTGGCAATACAAATGGCCCTGGGGAAAAACAAGGCCCATTCCTCTCACAATTTAACCTTAAGGAATTGAACGCATCATAGTCAAAAGGCTCTCCAGTAGCAGTGCAGTGCAGGTCCTCCAGTGGCTGGACATTAACCCTGTGTGTGAACTCAGATCTCATCTGAAGCACTCTGTTCAGATTGTCACCTCTTAACCTACAACTGGCGAGGAATTAGGAATTTGCTCAACTTTTATTACTATGTTGAAGGAATCTGTATTACACATTTACTTATGCATCATTACTATGTATTTTCCTTTCTTCTCAACAGCTTTTTGAAGGTACCAATCTAAAGCACTCAGAAAATAAAAGATCAACCCAAACGCTCTGTTCCTTTCCTGAAGCTGATTGTCCAAACATTCACAAGTCTGGAACAGGGATTTGTGACTCTTGAATTAATAAAGCGTAATTTACACTTTTTCCCTCATCAGTAACAACTTTAATAACTATCTTTCAAAGCAATAAAATTTGCTGCTATACATCTGATATCACAGAATCACAGAATTCTAGGGGTTGGAAGGGACCTCTGGAGATCATCTACTCCAACCCCCTTCTAAAGCAGGTTCCCTACAGTAGGTGGCACAGGAAAGCATCCAGGCAGGTTTTGAACAGCTCCAAAGAAAGAGACTTTACAGCCTCTCTGGGCAGCCAGTTCCAGTGCTCTGTCACCCTCGTGTTAAAAAAGTTCTTTCTTGTGTTCATATGGAATTTCCTAAGTTACAGTATGTGCTCACTGCCCCTTGTTCTGTCAGTGGGCACAACCAAAAAGATCCTGGCCCCATCCATTGACTCCCGCCCTTTAGATATTCACAGGCATTGATAAGCTCCCCCCTAAGCCTTTGCTTACCCAGGTCTCTCAGCCTGTCCTCACAAGGGAAACGCTCCAGGCCCCTCATCTTTGTGGTCCACTGCTGGGCCCTCTCCAGCAGTTCCCTTCTTTCTTGAACTGAGGAGCCCAGCACTGGACGCAGTGCTCCAGGTGAGGCCTTACCAGGGCAGAGTAGAGGGGGAGGATCACCTCCCTCGACCTGCTGGCCACGGTCTTTTTAGTGCACCCCAGGATGCCATTGGCCTTTTTGACCACAAAAGCACACTGCTGGCTCATGGCCAACCTGTCGTCCACCAGGACACAAATGTACTTCTCTGCACATCTCCTTTCCAGCAGGTCAGCCCCTAACCTGCACAGATGCACGCAGTCATATCACTGATGTCAACTTCAAGTATTAGACAATGATTTTAAGCTCTCAGAAACAGCTGAACCACAATCCCTTGCTAGCTAGAGCAGAAAGACTACAGTTACCCATTTTATTAACCAGCATTTAGTATTTATTCTAAATAATTCATTTTACGAACAGATTTCTTCTAAGTGCAAAGAATAGCAATACACAGCTCAAAAGCATAACATCCAGCCTTGCACATTCTGCTCACACTATTAGAAGTCTAGATGAGATAAAATTGAAGGAGAAAGTTGAAAAAAATGAGTTAGCAAGCTGGAAGTACAGAATTGATGTCATTCATTTTTTTCACTACTCTACCAAAAACAAACTAACTCTTCACTGCTAGCAAACATAAGTAGAAATCCATGTGAAGAATGATGGGGGGAAGAGTAGAAAATTATTCATTTTTCAGCTGATTCCTGCTTTTGACAGATGCTGATACTGGTGTTTAAGAGCACAATATTCAAAAATATTTCGTTCTGCAACAAGCTCCAAAATTGCTATATCCAGACACGCTGAAAGCACATCATTCAGTGACCAGAAAGCAGTAAATGAGTCATGCCCCTCTGCCACACTAAGGTTTTCTTTATTGCATTGTTTCCCACAGATGCTTTCTCAAAAAAACTACACAACAAATAATGTAAAACTGAAGGAGGAAATCAATGAAATCTGCTTTGTGAGACACATCCAGCATGCCAAGTTACATACACACAGCATTTTGGTTAGTGTGTGTTGGGTTTGCTTCTTCTTTGTTTGTTCTGTTTTTTAAAGAACGTGATGCAAAAAGCAAAACACTGCTCAAACCGTATCATCTATTCAGTATCTTAGATGAAGGACCATGGGTGTTCTGCCACTTGTCAAATAGAATTCTTAGTGAACAAAGACTAAAAATGAAGCATCATCAACCCAATTCTGGAAATACCACTGTATCTGCTGCTAACAACACAATTATACATCTGAATTTCAATTTATTCATTTTCTCTTTATGCTTGAATAATAACATCAAGCAAATTACCGATAACTAATACAGAAAGTTTTAAAGCCACTTCTCAGATATGTCTAGAACTCCAAGGATTGCAAATCAGACTAGTTTTAGTACACATTTCAAAAAGCAAAAAAGACATTGTTCATTAAAACAATATCACTCTTCAAAAACCCTCACGTTTCCCATAGATTTGTTCAGTATTCCGTGATCTCATTTGCCACACTGTCACAACACTGTGCTTAGTGCTGTGGTTGATAGGCTTTGTTTCACAAGAAAGAGACATCATTCAGTATCTTTGACAATGCCTCGTAATATTTACATCTAACAGTGTTTTCATGAGGCCTCAAGAGGGCACTGTCTCTTTTTAAAACACAGTTGGTGCAGCATCTCAAATGAAACTCAATACAGAGTAGTTTTTTTCCACACTTACCTAAAGTCCATGCAAAATAATACTTGGGTCTGGCAGCCATGAGAGACAAGTATAGGTAGAAAACCCTTACGGGCCACGATGCTGTAGCTCTGAAGTTCTCATCAATGTTGTATTCCACAGGCAATGTTTTTGTAATAGTCATGTGAAAGAGTAAGGACAGTCCACAGATTAAGAGCTTCTGTGCCACAGCTATCTGCAAAGTTTAAGAGAAGAGACTTTGTAAGCTTCAGGTTTTGTTAGTCTTCTGAAAACAAAGGTAAGTTGGAGTTAGTCTTTCCTAACCAGGTGTAAATATATGTGTCAGATTTTCAGTAATACTTACTACCAAGTACTTAAAATATTTGGTAGCATTTTAGAGGTGTTCAAGAAATATCCTTATCTCGGTTACAGTGTGAGTACCATTGCTTTTGGCAACTCAGCAAATGGAATTCAACCACACTGAGCCCCTGAGAATCCCTTTCAATAACAGGAAGTTCTTTTGCAACCCCAGTTTTTATCTCATTGTCAAATTACCCAAACAAGTAAGTTGCCCAAACAACGTAACACAGAGCATGTAACTTTGCACTGGACACGTGCAATTACTGCAGAGCTTCCAGAAAGAATGACTAAATTTTAGTTCATTTTTGAAACCTTTGGCATAATACAGATGTTTAGTTGCTGCCCAACTCAATACATCAATTATCCGTGTTCAATTATCGTAATACCTAAGTTCTAAAACAGTAAAATGCTGAAATAATTTATGCATTTACAGCCAAAACACCTCAGTTCTATAACGCCTTGTTTGCCAACCTAGAATGATCAAGTGATAAGGAGTCAAATAACATGCTCACAGACATGTAAAAAGTGCATTCTTCAGCTTGAATCTGGACTCAGATTTCCTCAAAATTCAGTGTAGCTATAACCACCACTCTACAGAGGGTGCTACTTTTAGGACACCAGGATTGCTAAGGTTCTGTTGTAAAATGCACAGAGCAATAATGCCTGACATGCACTGCTTTGAGTCAGGAGTCTCACCCATGTTCCGAGGGTGCTTACCAGTGTGGGCAAGCTCCTAAAGGAGCACCCGAACCAAGCACTTCAAAGAGAAGACTGCAAACTGTCTGTAAATGTCTGTAAATGTCTGTAAAAAACTGTCTGTAAACTCTCAAGTTTTCATCGTAAACAAACTCAGTATTTAAATTTAAATATTACAATTTTAATATATAGTTCTATGGCACTAAACTCGGCAGGAAAATAATCAATATAGCTATTTTTCTTTGAAGCACTGAATAAAAAGATACTCACAATCCTTTTGCTGCCCATCCTGCTTCCAGTACTTAAAGTCCTACTTCAATCAGCATAGCTACAAATACCTAGCTCCAAAACAGCTGTTCTGTTCCATAGTGCAGCAGTAAGTGCCCAAACGAACACAAGGATTTCTGCAAGATGCACAGTACCAAGGTCTCACAGACATGACGTGACACACAGTAAGCACTGTTCTCCCTTTTGTCCATTGCCACTGCTTGTCCATCTTTACACACTCTGTATCATCAACCCAAAATGCACTGGTACCTCTCTGCAGGTTTTCAATTAAATCATGGAGGTGAAAGCCCTTCTTTGAAGGAACAGCAGCAGGTTCTCAATGAAATTCATCTTAAGAAAGAACAGTGAACTCATGTAGACATACCTTTGAAAAATAAACCCTGAGGTTGTCAATCTGTAGTTGCAGAACTTGTATGTACCATAGCAGGATGGTGTTTTTATTTACTTAAATGATGTATTTCTACTATTTTATATCCATTTATAATTTTTTAGCAGCAACATTAAAGTACAGGAAAAAGGATAATAACATCCAGAAGCAGCATGGCATGTTACTTAATGGCTTTTTTTGTTTGTGCTTTTTTTAACCAGTACTACTTCACATATGTAATTACAAATCCCAGAACCCCCAACCAAGCCTGCTGACACCACTCCCAGGCATAGGGAGGCACACTGAAGTCCTCAGCAAACAACACTGGAGGTAATCTCCTACAAGGACTGGAAGCTGCAGGTCCAGGCCTGCTTTAAGCAGCCCTTCAGAAGGACAGTCCAAATACAGGCTGCACTGCAACAAAGCAGTCCTGCCTTTTCTCCTCACCTTGGCTACACGTTTTTGCTCTTTTCCTTCTGGGGGGGGTCAGATTCGGGAAGCAAATGAAGAGAAATACCAGTCGTTGGGGTATTTGCCTTGTTTTGTTTTTATTTACTTATTTTTGACAAACCAGCTTTGGATGGGATCAACCGCTCGAATCAGATCACTGTGCCATGAAACGCTCACCAGCGCTCTGTGACAGCTACACAACTCAGAAGCCACTGCCACAAGTTGATACTTGGGTTGGACTCAACAGATCATTACATTCTAGCCTGAGGCTTGGCTTGCTTAGAGCACTCAAATTTTGAATAATCTTACACGCAAACAGGAATCCACACCTGACACCACAGTTAGTGCAATTGCCATTTGGTTATTCTTTGCCAAAGCATAAACAGGGTTCCACACTCACAGGAGGATTGGTCAGTCTCTACAGGATGAAGAAACTAAGAAGTCTGAAATTTTGTTTCATTCACCCTCCGAACTTTTCAGTGCATCAAGTCAAAAAGTAAAACTCACTTATTGTGGAATAACTCAGAAACTACAGTCCAAAGTAATTGTTCTGCTAATGAACTGCAAGAACAGAAGCTGCAGGATGGGTCCCTTTTACCTCATGTGAAGTAGAATACACAATTTATTTTTCATCAAGAAGGAAGAACAGCCTGGCTCATTTGGCTCTGATGAACAAAAATTAGGCATAACTGTATGAAAAATATGAAATATGGATAATATTGTGAAGGGAAAAAAACTTATTTAGGCTAGGAGAGTGCCAAGGCAAAAACAAATGTGCATTAATTGGTTGGGAATGCAAGTAGGTTGAAAGCTGGATTCCTGACTAGTGAAAGGAGTTCAGGAACAGCTTTCTAATTGAAGCAATAAACGCTGAGTGCACGTAGATGTATCGCTGCATGGAGAAGTACTGTGCGTATGAGTACAAACAAGAAGTATAAAAGGTGCTTTAGGCCTTATCTGAATATTCAGTATAATACTGAACTACGTTAAAGTGCATCATTTTGTGAAGGATAGCACCTCAGTTAAAAATTACATGTAATTAACCCAGAACTTTCTTAATTTATAGGAAGAGTCTATAGAATATGCAAGAAAGCAGGTATCTGCTGACAGGCATCTCGTTTGTTAAGGGTAGCCATAATAAAAAGAAACTTACAAAGACAGATATTAATTTCTGAGAGTTGACACCACTTTGAGCACCAACAATTGATAGCTTGCAAAAAGGGACAATAGGAGGGACATAAGAAATGAGTTTTAATACGCTGATTCGATTCATTTAACATGCAATGAACACAGCAAAAATACTAAACCAAGTTGGTATCATGCAATCAACACACAGGAGAGGGGAGGAGGCCAGCACGAACTACTTCTGTTATATAAATTATATTTAACAAGAAGCTTATTGTAAACTCAACTGAAGGATTTTTTTTCACTTAGTACATTAACATTTGCCAGTCCCCATTACACTTCATTTTTCTGAGTTACCTAACAATTTACACTGACATTAAAGGTAACGTGAGAATCTAGGCACAAATTTAAGACATTAACATGAAGTTAATGGGATTTAAACGTTCTTCTTCTAGAACAAAACAATGAATTGTTTGATTGATGCAGCAAATGCAGTGAACAAATTATATCATCCACATTTCTCCAAAAGCACAGAATACTCTCTGGTGCTATAAAACAGCCAGATTTCTCTAATGCCAGTTGGGAGATGAAGTATCATCAGCAGAGTCAACTTCTCTTTTATTTTTTATGTCAAAATCTAACGCAGCATAAATTGCAAAAAACATCAAGCAATTTGAGAGCAATACACTTTAGCAAAAACTGCTTACCTGAAAGAAGAATCTGTTATAGTTTTACATTTGTTTGTATTGACTTTATTTGGGTCACTAGAAAGATTATGCGGTAAAAAGCTATGAAGCCCAACTAGGCAAACAGCAGATGCATGTTCAGAAGTCCTGATACCAGCAGATTGGGTTAGGTCTATTTATCTTACTTCATAATATTTTTCTTCAGAAATAGGAGCTTAGTACATAAGATAAAAGATTGTTTAAAAACCAAGAGTTTGCAACCTAGCCCATACGACACACAAGTGCAGGCTATGGACAGACTATGAAGTGCCAGTCTATGCAAGCAAGTCTCATTTGTCCTTCTCCCTTCTTGACGACTTCCTCAACAGCACACTTGCATCAGCTTGCCAACATGCAGAGCAGGTTAAAATATTACCATTCTCCAGCCACTTGTTTATATTTCTGTGGTGCAACTTACAACAACCACATAAGATTGGTAGAACAGAATGTGCAAAATGTCCTCACCCACATTCAAAGAATGGAAGTGGCTGGAGATGACAACTGATTGAGAAGCACTTAAGTGTTCTCTTCGCTAGGGGATGGAATCCTCCAGCTATCAGGATGTGATGAGCAGCTGTGGGAATGCCTTCATCTGCTCTAGCAACTGCTAGCAAAGACAAGCAGGAAACAAGTAATTGTTCCTGGAGTCAGTGAAAGCCATTAATGCAAAGTGCTCCAGTTGACTCCGTAATAATTCTGTTTTTAATATGTTATACTAATTATCTTAGACACAAATGTAAAAGATAGACACACTCCTATTTAAGAACATATGAAGAGAGTGGTAATATTCAGTACCCTCAACATTAAACTCTTTGGATTAAATTACAAAAGGAACAAGCTCTGGGAGCTTTTAATTCAGACCATGCAATCTCTTCAGTAAGGTAGGATCAAATGGATTTTCTTCTGCACGTATGTATTCTCTTTTCCAAAAGAAGAACAGAGAGAAAAGCAATACACTGTATGGATGGCTAGCCATGCAGCTATCACTAGTAAACTAGTATACTACGTTTTACTACATCTTCAGATGAAGGCAAAAAATAACATTGAGCTTCAGCACCTCTCTACACAAATAAAAGCAGGAAAAATTGTTTCCATGAGTGTTTTTCAACTTAATGCATGTGAATGTTTGCTGCTTGCTCCATGCAGAGCAGAAAACATTAGAAAACAATGGAATTTGAGAACTTCCATAAAACTTTGCTGAAATTGTTAAGTCTCATCCACTTTCAAAAGACAAGACATACAGTTTGCCTTTACTGCACGCAGCGTACACTTTGAAGAAAACATGCATTAACTGCTTCATCTAAAGATGGCTTTTTACCATATAAGCTTGTTAGGAAGCACCAATTTCATTTGCTTTTGTCCACAAGATCCAGACTGGAAACCATGGAGAAAACCTAGCTTAAAAAGAAAGTATTTAACTTTCTGAACAGAGAACTGTACTGTTGATGAATGAACTCCAGATACAGCTCAGCAGTTATGCCTGTAAACAAACAGTGCAAACCAAGCTTTTCATGCAATGATTACATCAGCATCAGCACTGCAAGAGTCAGAGTCATACATCTTACATTTGGAGAAGGATCCGTTTGTTCATATTTTGTATCTTCCTTCCCATTTGCTTCAGACTGTTGCAGTTGGTATGATCTGCCTTCAATGAAAGTAATATAGTCTTTGTAAGAGCATAACGGGCCTGCCAGGATACCCATGAAATTACAGTTGTAACTTAAATATTCCAGTAGACTTGGCATGCGTCTGTAATTCAAAGACAAGCAGCTTGTGAGATGGAATGTGTAGTTCCACAGAATTTCCACAGCAGGAGAAGTCATACTGCATGTCATTGCTTACTATAATTGCAGTAAAAACCAAATGCAGAAAAGCAGTTTGTGCATATTTTGTAATCACAACTTAAAATACTCTAAACATAGCATCGCTTTCCAATCCATACTGAGCATTTTCAGAATGATGTCTTTAACTCTTGTGACTTTGTCCTCAACCTGGCGCTGAACCTGGGGAAGAAGGTGGAAGGGTGTTTCCCTGAAGTGCTTGTTCAATTGTTTATGTTTTCCTTTTTCCTCAATAACCGAGTCAGTAAACAAAGGTTTGTGTTAGCTGGCAACAACCTAAATTGAGGAAAATTCCTCAAGTCAAGACTGTTTAGGCCAGGACAACATAATATTAGCAAGTCTCCTGAATAGAGAAAGGAAAACAGGTAAGTTAAATGCTGAAAAACAGAAACAAGTATTCCTTTGCCAACTACTTTATATGTGTACTAAATGTTAACTAGTCTCCTGTCTGGATGTAATTTGCATATGACGCATAGAACTTAGCTTTTACACTGTAGAAAAATATCCCATAGTGATATTTTGCAGAATAGATGCCTGTAATTAAGTTACAAACATAAAATGCATGGATCTGTTTTAGCCGAGTTTGTAAACGCTCAATCCTGAACAGGAGCTGTTGCATTTCTGCACAGCATTAATAAAGCACACAAACCATCAGCTTCTTTCTGCCACCAAAACCAGACTCTCAGATCACTGAAAGCCTACCTTACAGCCAAACACCTCTGTGATGGTGTCAAATCTTCATTTTTTCGAAACATACCTAGAAAAGAGCACAGAGAAAAGGAAAAATAAAGAAAAGCTTAAACAACACTTATTAATTAGTACTGGCTTTACTCAGTAGAGTAACCCTCATGCTGCAGTATAATCTTTTTCTTTATGTCCTCAAGTAACTTCAGAAGTATTATGTCACATAATATTTTAGTTGGAATTGGATCAATCATTTCTTACTGTTGACAAAATTACAAACTTACATATCCTCAGCTATATCCAACAGTGTCCAAACCTGAAACCACATGGATTTCATGATTGCATTAAGAAGGCTTGTAATAAGTGGTGAAAAACACAGTTCCCTTACATGTCTTCAGGTTTCAAAGTCTGCAGGTTTCAGAACCCTTTACTCCCTGTCTAGGAAGTTAAAATCCAATCCCCATTAACACAGCAGTAACCCAGGGTCATACACCTCCGATATGTAATATGAACACAGCCTAAGACAGATTTATGCTGCTCAAAGCCCAATGCAGACCTTTAAAAGGTACCTCCGTGCTGTAAGTAAGGACTATAAACAAGGTCCAGTGAATCAGGCACAACAGGCAAGAGTCCCTGCCCAGAACCCGGAGCCCTGCCAGCAGCCAGGGGCAGGCCAAGGCTACATTCAGCAGCAAGGCTGGATTTATGCTCTTGCAGTACCCAGCACTTTGCTGGCCTACTCCTGAAAAGCAATTTGCAGAATTCGTATTGCTGTAGAAGTGAGTAGAACCTTCAACACTTGAAATAATTACAAAATACACAAGTCCAAGGGTGGGGGCACAGAAGAAGCTGAGCTCCTTCCTTCAGACAGGCCTGGTTTAGAGCAGCCAGCAGTGCCTGCCGAAATGGCTGCTTCAGCTCCTCCTGCAGGTCTGCCTCTAGCTCAGACAGCAGCGTGTGCATCCATCTCTGCTGTTCACATCGGCAAGTTTCCTTAGTGACTGCAAGCATTCACTTATTTTATAAAACATAACTTCCTAAGGGAAATTAAGCTTATGGAATCCCTCTTCAATTACATTCCTTCCTAGCAGTTCCTAAACCCAAAAGCCAATCTCCATCCCAGTTTAATGAAAGTGTAGAGGTAACACAGATACTACAACACACTGTGTAAAAATAAGTGATTATACGGATTATATAGAAGGAAAGATCCTCCTTCGCTCACAGAAAGATTGCCTTCAAAGCCTGCCCCTTGATGCCATTAAATCCATGGAAACGAGCCCTTACATTTGATCTAAGCATAAGGAAAGTTTCAAATGGAGTCTGCTTTCTAGTTAGATATCTAAATCAGTCAAGTTTGAGACACACACAAAGAAAAAAAAAGGGGAGGGGGAGGGGGGAGAGGAGGAAGTGATATGAAACCTCACTCAATTCTATGACTCTTGGAAATACTTCTTATCTGAAGGGAAGATAGCCTGTTGTCTTCATTTGATTCCAGGAACTATGACATACAGATACTTAGGTCTTAAAAACTGCATTTGTCTTTCCAGCTGAGATGGATACAGCAAATGGGTATCTCCTACAACCTGAAGAATACCTTCTTCATTCCTCATCTTCACAGCCAAAAGTCAACCTCCTTCATTCAGACCCAAGGAAAGAAACTGAAGGACAAAGCATGGCCCATGACTTCAGGCATTTTCTCTTCCCCACCATTACACTGTCCTATCTTCTCAGTACTACAGCCCAAGTTTTAGCTACAGTTAAAAGTGTTTTAAAAATAGTGGGAGAAGCTTTTTGAAAAGTACTTTAACCTTTAAGGCCACAACATAACAGGTCTCAGGTACTAAATCCTGATAGATAGCTTTTTCCTTGAGTCAGGAGGAAGCAGTGACCAAGTGTGTCCAAATTAACTTGAACAAGGAGGGACTAAAGACGGGTGATTAGCCTAATAAAAGATTTCACGCCACTGATGTGTTCCAAAATAAGGGAAAAAACTCAAATAGAAGAATCTAATCAGTGAAATATGACCTGTACTTTTGGAGAGCTAGAGGTTAAGGAGTTGGCATATTTAAAATAGGTTCAAGTATATCCATACACATACGTGTGGAGTTGCTTTCCCCCTACATAATGTGGCAGGCATTACGCCTGTCTCAAGCATGCAGTGTACAAGGAAGCCTCCATGATTTTTTCTCTCCAACCACCAGCCTCTCAGAGGTCGGTGCCTTTCCCCTAATGCTTTTTCACATCTTCTCAGTGCCTGTGTCACACTCTTGCAAGCTTTCAGAAAGGCACTGCAGACTTCTTCTAACTGATAGAAAATACACATGGAAAAGGGGAAAAGATGCTTTTAAAACCTCTTCAGGGAGAGGACTTTGAAGAATCATCAAGTCCAACCTTATCTAAACTAAGATAAACGCGTTCAATGCTTTTGAGGCAGTGTATTTGCCCATGGGGACAGAGGCCCCAGATCATAGCTGTTCCCTACCTGCTACACACTGGAGATAAAGACACCTCATTTCATCAGTATGCCACTATAGGGAATTTGTGAATTTTTCTAACTTTCCTCTAGGGATGATGAGAAATGTTTTCTCCTGTTCTAAAGCAGCATACTTCTGCAATGGTTGCATCTTCTAGTTGCTACCAAATCACACAGTGGGGATTAGAGAAAATGGGTTTTATCGAACATTTGTGAGAGAAGTGAAATTATCTGGCCTTTCAGCAGCTACAACTCAGTTTTCTCATCTGTAAAGAAATAAGCCTGCGTTCCTTCTGTGCACAAGAATTTTGTAAATTGCCGCTAACAAAAATTATCTCCATTGATCTAGATCATGAGGAAGTTGCATCTGTTCATTCCTCTTCAGGAGATCAAACCATAAAGGTAAATCACCATCTTTGGATATATACCAATATCCTTCCCCACAGGTTTTATTAAAGGCTGTTATGGTACTATCAGGCTTTCTCACTACAACAGCACAATATTTACCATTATATCTTGGTATTAACCCAGCTTAGTAGTTAATCTGCTTGAGTCTACCCACTTTTATATTTGCATGAAAAACTGGCTATTAAGTGACTCATTTATAATGCTTAAATAAATATGATATTAACTAAGAATACTTAAGCATGAAGATCGTATCACAAGCCCTGTTGAAACCACAGCAAGATTTGAGGTTCAGAAGTGGATCACCTGAGTTTAAATGCACTCTATTAATGAAATATGTGAAGGCCTGAAGAAGACACAGACTTTCCATAACAGTTTTAGTTGTTACCAGCACGCTGGCAGCAAATAGACACGGGTATCAGCTAAGTAAAATCGCAGAGAAATTACCAAAAAAAAGCAAAAAAAAATCAGAAATTTTGACATAATCAAACATGGGCCCCAAACAACACAAGTCTTAGGAGCTGAGAAATACAATGTAATTCCATAAAACTTTAATGGCATGTAGAGTAATTAAAGTGATTCGGTAGCAGCTACAATAGCTATGCTGTCACTAACACAAGAGGGAGCGCTTTAAAAAAGGATGTACAAAATACAGACCAAGAGGCAACTGATGGAGAGAAGCTCTAAGACTCCTGAAGAAAGCGTTGCAATTAAAATTAACCAATCAAAACAACAACAACAAATAAAGAAACACCATCCCACCACAGCATTCCTGCTGAATATGGGAAGTGTTTGCCTTTGAGAAAAGGAGAAGGCAAAGCATCAAGTTAACTGAAAATCAAGATGGAATGTTTGCATCAATCTAAGCATGAAGCATTCCTCAATACTTTTGCAGCATTACGTTGTCTGAGCACAGCTAATGAAGCCAGCACTGCTATCAGAATAGCAGGTACTGCAATTTGGATGGGATTGCTCATGAGATGTGAATGAACATGAAATTTGCCTTTTTTTCTTTCAAATTACTTTGCTTAATAACCACCCCAAGTGTGTGGTGCACTGCTTTGACAGTAAGAAGGTGATAGCAAAAGATAATTAAGACCACTGCAACTAACATAGTAACATGTAAGTTTCTCCAGTATTACTTTTCTTCTTCCTTATCTCTTTTTCCTGTGTGTTTCATCCACTCATTAAGATATCATCTCCTGAGGGACCACATGGAACAAAGAATATACTTCCACAATTTTGGGAGGAAAATAAACTTTAATAGCCAATTTGCAAATCTACAACACTATACAGTAGTACAACAGCAATATGAGGAGAAACAGCATCAAACAATCCTCCTGTTGTCCTCATATGCAGCTGCTGGAGCAAAATAAATGTGGGAGACCCAAAACTGCTGTAAGACTAGCACATAACTACATCTCTTGATGCATGATTGAAAAAGAAAAGGCAGAGCTTAAAAAAATTCAAACAAAATAAAACAGAAATACCTTATCAGCTGCATATTCAGTGTACTCTATCTCCTTTTAGCTCTCACAGTAAATGCAGTGCTGCAACAGATCAGTATCAATGTCTGCTCTATTGCTTTTAAAAATGGAGGGCGCCAGATCCATCAGGACATAATAATTACAGAAAAGCAAGCTGTGTTCCTGAAACAGTGCACTTAAGCATCAGCAACTACAGAGTTGAAAACCAAGGCATGAGTGATAGCAGAAGGGTGTCTAAAGGAACAGCAAAGTTTATTTTCTGGTGGTCAGAAAGCACGTGAGAGATAAGCCTCCAGGAGCCAAGAAGCTGACAGAAGAGCATTATGCTTCTGGTTTCTTACCTGTGTCCAGCCAGTTTTCTGGACAAATGCAACACAGCAATATGGAGGAAATTTGGAAGAATTACATCTGCCTTACTATACGACTATTACATATAAGAAGTGACTGTTTATGGCTTTTGTTTTTTTAATCGATTTAGTTTGAGTTAGAGAAATGAGGTTGGAAGAAGCCATGAACATGTTTGCCCATTTAAATAGCAAATATCCAGCCTAATATTCCCAGATTTTGGTGACCAAATCTCTTGGTGCTTTAAAAATAAGTATGTTATGAGCTCCAGAACTTCCTTGGGTTATGAATGTGAACAATTGAAGAGACTCTTTGTTTAAGACTCATTAAGAACTGGCGTTAAAAACAAGCTGTCAAAGCACATACAGGTTAGTGAGATTAGATGTTGATATGGGTCCTTCCTTCCTGTAAAGATCTCCCAGCTCCTGCAGAATTGCAGTAAAATGAGTGATACTCATCTGCAGGTATGTGGGTTGTGAGCAAAAGAGGGGGAGCTCCGTGTGTGTGATGGCATCCTCCAGCCCAAGCTGGTCTGTCATTGTTAGGCTGGGACTGAGACTGAGTCCTGCTGCACCCTCGCTCCTCTGAGGAGGAGTTTGGAAAGCAAGGGGGTCCACTCAGAACCTCATGACTCAACAAAAAGGCTTCTGGATGATTTCCTTTGATCCTGTCCTCTATGCAGAGAATAACCAAGTGTACCTTGCCATCAAAGCTTGTTAATCAGCTATCTTACTTATCATTAAACTTTGTTAAACCAACTTCTATCAAAAAAATATATTGTTGCCATCTCAAAATAGAAGAGTTAAGCAGTGACTGTATCTTTCTCCTTTGATCAACTTTTTGCACCTTGTAATTGCAAAAACTTCTCTATTTAACAGCATCTTCTAGCTGGAAAATTCTCATGCAAGTAAAATTCTTCATTTTTAGCTTTCTTAAACTAACTGCAGCCAATCAGCCTATTTCTGGAATAGCTGCAGTGCACCTTTCCTTCTCCAAAACATGCCAGTTTTAAATTCGATGAAGAGGTACTTCATTCAGAAAAGTTCCTTTTTTTATCCCTTTAACTCTGTCAGCAGCCTAACATTACACAAATAAATCTAAATCTTGCCAGAAAGAATGAATATGGACAAAAGCAGTCTCTGAACTTTTCTCTCTGAACAAAAACTTCTCTGCCTTTAAAATATGTGTGATAGTCAGCAAGAAATACAAACATAACATACTATTTAATTTTGTTAGTGTTCATTTAAGTAGCAGGAACATGTAAAAAGACAAGAATTACCAAGGGCTTATCTTTAAAACACAAAAGGCACAGACTAAATTTATGTAGGTGTAAATTCCTGACCCATGCAACCTTCTGAAAAGCTAGCATTACAGATCAAACCCAAATTGTTCCTATGAAACTTGCATACAATTTTCCTCTTGTAAAAGTCCACAATAAATGCACAGAGTTGTAACTTCCAGAACTATTTATTTACAGAAGTGCTGGTGTTCAACTTGGGATCAAGGATATTCACTAAGAGCAGACAGAGTCTTTATTATGCAGTGTGAGTGAGTGCCCTTACACCCAATTCTTTCCAGGATCTTCAAATGTAATACTGAAACCAGCTGAACACAGTGAGCAGGCTGCCAGGAAAAGATCAAGTGCAGGAGACTTGCCTTTACCACAAAACCAACCTAACCACAGCTACAGCCCTGACATGTACTAAGATCTTCCAATGCAGCAACATGTCTGATTTTTTATTTTCATTACTTTTCCTTAGATATACTGGTAAAAATCAAGGAGAGGGCAAAAAACCCCAGAAAGTAATTGGTGATGAATTTAGCCAAGCTGAGGTGGCTAAAGGCTCAGAGTGCCATTAATTAATCTGTACAGTGATTTTCAACATTACCTCCTCGTTAAGCCATACGTCTCTTAAAATATTTTCCAGTGGAAGCAAGGATCTTTGTATAGTGAACAAAAGCCCATTGGCAGCAGGCTTCTTTTCATTGTTTTCTCTTGACAGATCCCTTGCAGGCTGTGCATGCTTAAAAATCATTGATTTAATACAACCTCAGTCTCCCTTGTACATGTTTTTTAATCATCTCCTGAGATAAGACTCAAAGATGCTCCTGAATTTACACTGGTCTCATCATGCTGCCACTGTGCTCTTAGCTGTGATCATCCAACTCAAGAACTCTGATAACTGCAAATGCAACCAGAGGGAGAGCTTTCCACTGTATTCCCACAAGCTGACAGAGATTCTAAAGGACCTCTGATGTGGAGTCAGTAGGGAAAAAAATTTCATGATAGATACACAGAATTCAACTTATCTCAAACAAATTCAGACTTCAAATAATCTGGACTTTCTAGTAAAATACAGGTGGTATGTGTTAATTTAAGGACACCTCAGAACAGAAAGGACATTGAGGTGCTGGAGCAGGTCCAAAGAAGAGCAACAAGGCTTGGGAAGGTCTTGGAGAATATGCTCTGCAAGGAGAGACTGAAGGAACTGGGGCTGTTTAGTCTGGGGAAAAGGAGGCTGAGGGGAAACCTTATTGATCTCTCCCAGTATCTGAAAGGTGCTTACAGCAAGAGTGGGGCTGGTCTCTTCTCACTGGTGACAGGACGAGGGGAAATGGCCATAAGTTGTGCCAGGGTAAGTTTAGATTGGATATCAGGAAACACTTCTTTACAGATAGGGTTGTTAAGCACTGGAATAGGCTCCCCAGGGAGGTGGTTGAGTCACATCCCTGGATATGTTTAAAAACTGTTTGGATGTGGTGCTCAGGGACATGATTTAGCAGAGGGTTGTGAGAGTTAGGGTAGTACGGTTAGGTCATGGCTGGACTTGATGATCTTTAAGGTCTTTTCCAACCTGAGCAATTCTATGATTCTATGATTCTAAGTAGGTAAAAAAATCTTGTGCAGTTCATAGTTAAAGAGCAAAGCTGACTAAATGAAACATTTGTTTCAAGACCATCAGAAACACTCCCATGCTTGCCTTATAACTCAACTCCACTACTTGTGCAGGTATCTGGAAATTTGGAATAGCTCATTCCTTTAGCAAAATAATAGGAGGAAGCATTCACTTTTGATAATAGAATTATTACTGCTTCAGAATAAGCTGTTTCCTCTAACCTGGGCACTCTGTACTCTGATTATAGCTTGCAAAACTAATACTTGCAAATATGTTTTCTCTGAAGTTTGACATCAGCTTTTTCACCATTTGAGACATCAGCTAGACATATCTAGCATTGCTCATTCATTTTCATTCATTCAAGAATTCATACAAGAAGTGCTTTCCAGGCTTTTCATATCTGTGAACGTTACAGCCTGCAGGCTTCTCTAGGCTTACCAGAATTCAAACAATTAACAGCAGCACTAAAGCCTGTACACACATAGAATTTATGTTGTTTAAAGCAACAGGTGCTCAGCAACTGAGATCACAGTGTACTGCTACCACCAATCTCTCAACGACAGTGACCTCTGAGTTTTGAAATTATTTGGCTAATGCTCAGAATCTACAGCCCAGCACAAGAATGTCAATTGGATTTAGAAAAAAAAAAGGAAAAAAAAAAGGAAAATTTAAGACAGCTTAAAGAAATCTTACCATCATGAATCTCAAATGCCAAACTAGTGATCTTCTGTGTAATTATCATCATTGGACTGTTACAAGAAAGGAAGAAAGAACAGTTTAGAAAAAAAATCAGATTTTCTTTGACATGTAAACATCAAGGAAAATGTTATACAAATAGCCAGGTTAATTACTCTCTAGTGGAAGACTTCCAATACAAGGTATGTTTTCGGAGCTCAAAACATGACACCATTTTCAAGCTGTGAAAATAATTTACTCCTTAGATACTGTATTTGATAAACCATGCCTTTTACTGCTGCAGTAGGTCCCACAAACACAGCCAGTGCTCCACATTTACTTTCTAATAGCACTGTTTATTTTCTTTTCTCTTAGTGGGAAGAGTAAGGGAAAAAGGGCAGTATGAACAACTATATGCATTATGAATTACAGCAGCAGTAAACAAAGGACAATAAGAATACCAAAGTTGAGCAGCAGCATTACTTATGTAGATACTCAGAGCATTTTTCACTATTTCTACTAACAGCTGGACCTATGCTTAATTTTTCCATCTACAATTATTATGTGCTTCAAGTAAACATAAGTGTTAAAACTAAAACCTAGCACAATTATGCTGACTCCAATGGAATTCAGTTCGTTTTGAATTTATTGAATTTCCTACATTTTATTGGATCATAAACTGTCCAAGAGATTCTTGACTGGGTATGTAACTCAGCTTTAACTGCTCTGGAAAGCAGAAAAGTTCACTAAAAAATGGTACCATCCCCACTGTACCTAAGTTTCCAACTGATGTAAACCTCAGCACTTCTGACCCCTAACAGGGGTAGGGAAGACTAAAGCATAAAACGAGCGTAACCAGAATTCAGAAACCAGTTCTTAAATATATTTTATTTGCTTAGTAGTACGTGAGCTGGAAACACAATAACAAAAACAGAGAAAAATGATCACCCTGTAGCCATCAAGTCCTCCTCTACTGACAAGCCTTATCCCAGATGGTTCAGCCTGCCAAATGATATTTTTTATGTTTCAGGTTATTTCAAAGCACAATGTATTTTCAGTTCTCAAATGCAATCAGGGAAAAACTAACCCTCTGTATTGCCAGCGTCCCCAAAAATCCTGTTATCAAGGCTTGAGTGACAGGGGAGGATCAACAAGGAAAAAAATAAATGAGAACAGACATTGTGGAATATTCTCTCTAGTCTCTTTCCAGCATCTGAGCTGAAGAGTCGCCTGGTGCTGTCACAGATCTCCAGCTGATTCTGAACAAAACAGGTTTTCCTTCTGTAAATGGATATGTGAATGGATGGAGCCCAGGAGAAGCTCAGACAGACCTTACAGTAATTCTGGCTGACACATGTCATTGTTATCATAGCAGCTATTGATATTTTTTCTTTCTGAAATGGCTCTTCCAGTACCTTCAGAGATGTGACTGAGGAGCAACAGTCTGGAGACTAAAAGAGGAAGAGCCCTTTCTGGAACAGTGTGGCAGAATATCAGTTTTCATTTCCCTTGTAGCTACTGGCAGAAGGGCAAGCAAGCTGTGGAAGGCTTGCAGGCAGCTGGGGTCCGTTAGTACTGAAGCCAGAATCACAATGGCACCTCCAACACGAGGTCAAATTTCATTGGCAGATTGTCTGGGCTTGGACACTTCAGATGGGCAAGATGGGTTACGAGAAATATCTAAATTCATTCAAAGCTCTTTCAAGGCTGACCTCTGTATGAAGCTGTGCCAGCTTCTTTGGTACCAAGAAAGAACTGCTGGTGCTGGGATTCACCAGCTGGTTAGGGCATTTTTGTTAATTTTGAGTTCAACCTCTTTCTCTGCAAATAGGGAAAACTGAGGGAAAATAGCCTCTTTCAGTTCAAATTGCAGCATGCAGTTCTCCTGTTTTGGAAACAAGTCCTGTCTCAGGTCTCAAGGGAGCAGATGCAGTTTATGCCGGAGATTTAACACAATATGCATACACCAAGCTTGCAGGCATGAAAGGGTCGTTTGAACAGAGCAGCTCTATCCAGAGCACAGACTTCATGAAGCTCTGGACACGTTTAGACCTGGCAGAAATCGGAGCTAACATCAAAGACAGCTGCTATCAGAGCAATACAGTCACATTTGAAGAACGGTGTGCTCAGGCTACTATTAATAGTTTTAGGTCAGTAACAGGCAAATACAATTACATTGCCTCCCAAGTGAGCTCAGAGCTTTGGTTGATGCAAGGCTGTACCGATTGGTCCTTAAGTGATCTGTAAAGGACAGCATTTGGATCATGATTCCACTCTTAATGGTGAAATTCAGTTCAGCATCTGTAAATCTAGCTTTGTGCATCTGTATGCATATATCTTTGTTACAATCTCTCATTATAGTCAGCAGAAATCTAGACAAGACAGTCAGGGGCAAGTGATCCAGTTCACATCAAGGTAGACACTCAGTGGAGGGTCAGCTGAAGTTCCCTCCAGGCTCTGCTGTCTGCACTGGTTAGATCTCCTCTGATGAGAACAGGAAGGATGAACTTAACTGTAAAAGCTACAGGCTTCAGCCTACAAGGTAGTTTTGGGGCTCTTACCAATGAAGACTGAGAAGTGACAAGGCAAACACAACTCTGCTACACAGTACAGTAATACTGAACTACAAACACCAATGCCACTCCCACTGTTCCTGAGAAGTATTTAATGCTTCTGGTGTTGCTGTTTTTAAACAGACTTGCACACATGCCTCTTTTTTTTTTCCCCAAAATGCTCCTTTAGATCAAAGACCTACCAGGAGCAAACAGTCATAGGAAATGATGTGCTTCGTTTCTGTCCGTAGTACCGACAAGAATCGCCAATATTTTTCACTTTTGCCTCACTTTTTTTATTATATTTTGCTCACATATGGCTCCAACCAAATATAGATTAAGCTCCTCATATAAAAAGAGAACATAAACAGGCATAGCTTTCTAGTTCTAAGGGTGCCTCTCTCCTTGGCCTTTCCTTTCTGGAACACATAGAATAAAACCCACAAGAGAGAAAAGCTAAAAGCTAAATCCCTTAAAACATTCAGATTTAACTCATAGCATGGCATCAGGTCACAGACATATACAAGTATGTAAGGCACAATTCAGCTTTCATCACATTGCCGTGGGTGGGAAAGGAAAAAATAAACAACAAAGATGCAGCATCACACAGGAAGATAAGATGGAGAGATTTTTTTTTTGTCCTTACCCAGAAAAATCAGCAGAATACTGTCCATAATCAAAGATATAGACTCTAGTAATTTGGCACACAGTGAGGTATCCCAAAGCAAAAACAAAGCAATACCTGACAGGGGTAAAAAACAAAAAGCATTTTAATTAAAAATGTTTCTCCACCGAGTCAGCAATTTTAATTAGATTTTAATTCTCAGTAATTTCAAGTGAGTATTTCACAATTTGCACGTGTCAGTACCCCTCCATTCTGACTTCTTCTGTAAGTTTTATTCTACAGAACCATGAAGATTTTTTTCCAAGCATACAGTACTAAATTACAACTGCTATCACCATTATCTTATTTACTGACATGAATGAGACTTGGCATTTGTAATGCAAATGCTGCTGTGAAGAACAGAAGTTCTGTAAAATGAATCTATTATTTTTAGTTCAAAGTGAATTTTTGACTGTACCAGTATGCGAATTTGGCAAATTAAGCAAATTATACATTGAACAACATCTCCATTGATTGTTCTCCTATACGTTACACCACAGACACTGGAAAAGAATATTAATTTTCAAATACACCCATTAAAACACATCTGATTGAAAAGGGAACCGTATGAGTTTACGCCTCCTGTTAAAGCTGATCCTTGCAAGTATAAAAAATACACACAAAGGCAACTTTTGTAAGTATTAAAAATTTAATTTCACACATCATTTTAAGGTCAGGGTCTTTTTCCTCCTATTAGTAAGAGGTAAAATGCTGACTATTTCCACACAGATCACGAAGCATTCACGATAATGAAATCAAGCACACCAGTCTGATGTTCAGTCCCTACAGCAGACTATGCTGTACAATCAAAATCCAGTTGAACTGCAAATTTTCTTGTATCACATGGAAAATGAGAGCTCGGACTGTATGAAGGTGACACAGTGAGGGGCACTCCAGGAGGAGTCTGGGACACACTTTTCCTTTCTTTCTCAAACTAATATTTTAGCACAAGTGTTTACATAATGAAGTCTGAAGTCTTAGAAACTATTCTTCAAGCTGAAAGTGATGCCTGTTTTTGCCATAAAGAACACTTGCAGGTTCACCTTTAAGAATTGCGCTAGATTTAAACTACACAATATTTTCAGATGTCCAGCTTTCAGGACAGAGAACCATTTCTGACCTCACATGCTGTGCATCAGAAGCGGTGTAAATCCACATTTGCTTGCTTGTTTAAAGCTTTAGGTTGCCTGCTGTAGCAATAAATAGCATTTTTCTGTTTTCATCCATTTTAATAATCCAGAAAATATCAAATTGAGTGGCTGAATGGCACAAAAATGTGCATAATAGAAATGCAACAAAATTAAGCAACAATTGATTCCTTATACTACTGAACTATTTCAGCAAGGAAAAAAGTTGACACAGTTAAGAAGTGGACCACAGATATCAGGAGCATTATACACTGCACAAGTCAAGTAACTTCTTCTTGAGATACTGTAAGAAAAGCTGCTTCCTCTTCCTGATAGAAATCGCACAGGTTTCACATGAGTGATGGATGACTGGTCTGCCCACTCAGATGTAACTCCCAGCCATTTCATTAGCTAAAATTCAACATGATTTTCAGTGTTACCAGCCTTTTTTTTTTGTTTGGTTGGTTGTTTTTTTTTTAAGATTCACTGACTAAATAATCCCTAACAAAAATAACAGAATGTTTTGGGTTGGAACCCACCCAAAGATACTACACAAAATAAATAAATATAAATAAAACAAGAACAATTTAAATATTGTTGTTTTCTCTAAGAAAATCTCATTTTCTCCTCAGTGGCAACATGATATATTTACTAACAGCAGTCTATTCACTGTATATTGCCTAAAACAAACAGAATTTCACACATGACACCAACTGCAGCTTTCCTACCTCACAATGCCCACCACAGGAGCAGGGCTCACCAGTTAGGACAAGGAACCATGCCATACATGGTCCTATGATTCTGTGAGACATCAATGGGTTGGGCACATCCCATCAGACAAACAAAAACAGTCACCAGTATCTATCTCCGAATGTTTTACCTTGTAACACTTCTACACTACGTTCTTAACAAAACACGAAAACTTTCTGTTGCAGAAAAGCTGCAGTTGAAAAATTACTAAATCTTCATAATCCCACATCTCTAACCCCAGGTGTTTCACGAAATATGCCCAGAAGTGGGCTGACAATATCTGTAGCGAAAACAAATAGTTTAAACCAAGTTGCAGTCAGAGAATCATAGAAGGCTTGAGTTGGAGGAGACTCACAGCCCACCCACCCAACCCCTGCCATGGGCTGGCTGCCCCCCACCACCTCAGGCTGCCCAGGGCCCACCGAACCTGGCTTTGAGCAGCCGCAGGGACGGGGCACCCACAGCTCTCTGGGCAGCTGTGCCAGGGCCTCACCCCCTCTGAGTGAGGGTGCTGAGGCAGACTGAGGCAATGATGCTACTCGTTTATGGAATACTGAAACATACAAGACAGTGTTATGGTTACTTGCGGTTGGCTATGGTATTGCTTAAATGCCTTGCAACTTCAATTACAAACTAACCTTCTACAATAAAATGAACTGTCTTGGCAAACAACTGAAGAGCAGTGGGTATTGTATACTTGAATTTCAGTAATGCTTTGGACATTGCTCCCCATTAAGATTCTCACAGAGAAGCTGTTGACATAGGTGCTGGAAGAGCAGACAGTGAGGTGGATGGAAAACTGGCTGAATGGTTGCACCCAGAGTGGTGGTAAGTGATGCAAAGTCTGGCTGGAGGCCAGCAGTGAAGGAAATGGAACCATACTGACCCAAGGGTCTTTATTGGGTCCAGTCCTGTTCGACAACTTCATAACTAACCCGGGTGATGTGGCAGCACCCTCAGCATGTCTGCTGATGGCACAAAACAGGAGAAATAACTGATAGGTCAGGGAGTCGTGCTGCCATCCAGAGAGACCTGGTCAGGCTTCTTAGATTTGTTTCTTTTTTTGTTTCAGCACTGCAAGTTTGCACATGCTCCACAAGTAAGCGTAAAGGTCTTCAGTAATAGCTTAAAGGTCAATACACACGCAAAGATACAAAATTTGATGCTTCATTAAGTGAAACCTACTGTTTCAAAATCATATTTGCCTTATGAGCAAGTGAGAGATACAATCTGACATTGCCAAGGCAAAGCTGGTTGTTGATGTTCAAGGATTATCACAAGCTGCCATGTGGCAGGCCATTGAGTCCACGTGAATAACAAAACAACACTATATACTTTTCAAAGACATAGCAACAGCCAAGTGCCACCTGAAGTGATTTGAAAGAAAACTAGGGTGGTTTCTGGACTGAAATATAGATGTTTTTACTGCTAGCAATGATAATAAAATAAATGACATGAAACATATGGCAAGGCTTGGAAAACAAGTGACCAAAGTAAATATAATCGATTCCCTAAAAGGTTATTACACAGATAAAAATTAAAATCAGCATCAGTTCACTGTAGAGACCCACAGCAGTATGACAGATCAGGCAGTGCTTCCAAAAGCACTAGATAGATGTCCCCTAAAAACAGCCAACAAAACAAAAGCGAAGAGAAACACTCTAAAATCCACAGAACTGTTGCTTTCGCTTTACTTATGCATTTTGAAAACACCTCCAGTCTTATAATGTATAATTTGCTGTTATTTTATAATGGGATTTTAGCTAAATATTAACTTCAGATTATTTCTAAAATATTTTATGTTTTTCTTATCACTGAAGAACTAAATATTTGCAGGTACTAAATCTAGAAGATTCTTGCTTCCTAAAAATAACAGAATCTGATCATTATTATAATAGAACAAACTAAACAGAATTATGAACATTTAATTTTTTTAAAGGAAAAAAAAAGGAAAAAAATCCATAATAATAAGTGAATTACCTGGTGTCCCTAAATTGGGAAAGGGGACAGCAATGACAATCCCCTTTCTCCTGCCTCCCAGAAAGAAGGAAACAGAAGTTACCATTATATACAGCTTTAAATGGAAATCCAAATTTATGCCCAGGATTTACAAGAAGTCTGTTAGGTTACACAAACATAACCACGTTGTTATAACCATTCACAGTTGGTCTGCATAGAAAAACAAAACTCATAAGCTGTGATCAAAGCCCAGGCATTATGTTCTCTAAGCACCCATGAAGGCTTAGAACTATGAGGGACATCTGCCTACAGTGAACCTGGTTAACAAATACAGGTGTAAATCTTCCAGCAGTCCACAAAGTCTGCTCTCATTCCAGAGCCTTCTGGCTACAAGCGCCTGGGCTTCTCTCCTCTTTTTCTCTGGATCTTCATCTGATTCATTTTCAAGTTTTTCTAAATATAACAGACAAGGTAAGGTTGATAAGATGGATAACACAAAGTGATACAACTCAAAAGAAAAGCAAATGAGGTATCAGGGATATTTTAGCCCCACTGAATGAAAACACCTGAAATCCAGCCATGTCAGCCAGGGTTGTCAGGCAGCTCAGTCACTATTAATTATAGAAAGAAGCATCAAAGCCATGTGTTGAGGAACAGTATGCACATGTGATCATCTCAGAGCAACAAAAGCCAAACCTATTGCAGCTTTTATTTTAAGAAGAAACAAGTATTTACAAGTATTTAATCGTTTTGACAACGCATCAGACAACACCCTGCAGTGGATGGGACAGACATCCTTCCTATCATCTCTAAAGGTGAAAATGCCAATCCTTACAAAAACGACAGCAGGAGCACAAATGGCTCCTTGCCTTGAGGAGAATCACAAACATCTATCAGACCCAGCACCTGCTATGCCTACCGATTCCCTAAACAAAACCAAACCTAGCTTTATTTAGCTGCTGACCAAAGTGTCACCCAGCTGACTACCTGAAATAGATGTTAGCCAATGTTAGCCACCACTGCCTACATGGCAGGATTTCTTCAAAAAAAACCTCCCCATAGACCTGAAAAACAAGTACAGCTTTGCAGAACTCTACCATGTGAAGTTGTACCTGACTACCACAGCATTAACTACAGGCTGTATGTGAATGCAGTGTTACCCAGGGCTGCATTTTCTCCTCTGGTACAAAAGCTGGTGGTTTTCAAAAAGCCGCGTTAATCTTCCACCTATCCCTGCTGTTA